GAATTAAGGGAAGAGTTTATGATTTTCGTGCTAAAATGCAAATTCTGGGCAAGGTGTATCGATGCATTTCAATGTACGATGCACTCTTTAAAGAAGAAACATCGATGCAATTGGTGCATCGATGCATAAGTAGTGCATCGATGCATCCCCTTAAAATGAAAACATCGAAGGTAATTTGTGTATCGATGCATGGGTAGTGCATCGATGCACATGTTAAAGAATGCATCGATGCACTGTAGAATGCATCGATGCACTTTAAGGGGAAATTGAAATAGACATTTCTTTTAGTCTAAGAAATGATAGATTAGATTATATCAATTGGATACTGATATGTATCAATATGATTATGTAGATATCGAACACGAACAAGTTCCGGAACGATCATCAAGTTAAGATTCGATCGAAAGAAATGAAAAATCACAAAAGTGGATTAGAACTTAGTGAGGCTCAGGTGAGTGCATATTAATTCGTTCATAGTGCTAAATGAAAACAAGACTTGTGACAAGTCTGTTTCCTATGTTGAATGCATGAATATATGATTATACGTATATGCATGACATAAATTGTATGTATGCATGATTATATGTGTTAACATGCTTTTGAATGTAATGATATGAGAAGTGTGTGCTATGTGATATATATATATGAGCCATATGACAGGATATATGTGAACATGAGAAAACAAAGTATAAGATATAAGCTATGTAATCTTATGAGAATATGAAAAGAAGCTATGTGACTACATGTATATGTGAAAGAAGCTATGAGCTTATATTACGTGATATGAAAGTGTACATGTGAATATGTGACATGATAGATTGTTAATGCCCATGTTATGTGTAAAGAGAGCTAGAGGTATAGTTGGCATGCCAAGAGTCGAGGGTTCTACGTGGTCATTCGGGACATATATGTATTGTTTGGAATATTTAAAGGGTCTTATGAGACACATATGTGATCCATTGAAATATGTATATGGTTCTTAAGGAGTGATCCTTCGGGAAAAAATACAGTATATAGGTCCTTCGGGATAAAATTTATAGCCCCTAGTGGGACCCCATACGAGCTGTGGTGACAGCATAGTGCACAACCTCAATAGACTCACATATCTACAGTTCTCACAGATGTACATGGGCTAATAAAGAGATAAACATAAACATATATATATATATATATATATATATATATATTATGCAAAGTATATGTTTTTGTGATATGAATTGTATTATATGATTGATGATGATGTGTATATGTGTACATGTGATTACATGAAATACTATATTATTTTGGGTGAGCATAATATGATATGTTCAATCATGGTTAAGAAGTTAGAGTTTCTCTTATAAGTTTAATGCCTCACTAAGTCATAGACTTAGCATGTGAGTGTTTCACACGTAGGTTCTGGAAAGCAAAGTGAGAAGCTAAGAGGAGTAAGACATGTCAGCATTTTCCTTACAAAGTTTCAGATCAGAAAATAAATGATTTAAATGTGTTTGGTTAATCTGAACATAGTTGGCATATACTAATTGATTGAGATGAATATGCTCTGATCGATTTTGGTTATTTTGGTCAATTTATGTAAATAAACAGTTTTTATTTTAATGAAAGTTTTAAATTTTCTTTGAATTTTGTCAAGAGTCAAAGTTTGAAAAGTCAATGTGACCCCCATTTTATTCAGGTCGGATACGGGTTGAGGGTGTTACAGGTCACCTGTGACGGTGGCGCCGGCGGGGTCATAAAACCAGGTGATGGTGGCAGCGGTGGCATCGGGTAAGGGAATGGCGGCATCGGCATCTGGTAATGGAAAGGCGGTGGTAGCATCATATATGGATGCGGTGGCTGCTGTGAAGGTCTTGTTGATGCAGCTGAGGATGAACCAGAAACACCTGCTCTCCGTCCACGAGTCGAGGGATGATGGTACTGTGTCGGTGAACGTCTCTGTCGACGTCACGGAAAGGTCTGCCCTCGTGCATCCTCGGGAAGCAGAAACGGTTTCCCATTACTGTTGAACCACTCGTAATAACCCTCAGCAACCATCAAGAGGTCATCAAAAATGGGCTCTCTACGGGGAAGGAGCCGATGTCGATCATCCCACAACACGATCCACGCATGATGCCTCACCAGCCAATCTGTATCTGTCTTGCCGTGTCTATCAGTGCTATGCAACTCGTCCATATTGCGAGGTGCTTCCGGAATTGGTTGAAAACAACCAAATTGTCGGAGCACGCGATCAGTGGAGTGCCACTCGACGGTCGCATAACAGATCAAGGGGACCGTCGCCATCCAAACATCTGATGGGCCCCTCAACTCAGGTGGGATCACCGCCCTCACATCATCAGTAGAATATGACACCCATTCAAACTAAAACAAATATATATAATTTTTATCAAAATAATAATCTAATTATATAACTATAATCTAAAATCGATTTTTAAACATTAAAATTCATACCTATGTGCCAACCTTCTGATCGATTAACACCCTAATTTTTTCTAAATCATCAGGTAGCTCCTGATGATTTTTCCTATCAGTAGACCACCTATTCAAGAAAAATAATTTATTATTCACTATATAAAATTATTAATATACAAAATCAATTTTACAATTACCTCAGTAGTAGCGGAAATACGAATGGGTTCTTGACAACGGAACATAAAAAGGGCAATCGACGCCATGCCCAAGACTACAGCAGCAGGAGACATCCGCCGATAGCATTACGCCTGTAGTCAATGGCTCGACATATCTCTTTGTACAGGAAAGCCAAAACTGCCGAGCCCCAATTGAGTGATCCGGCCAGATGAAAGTCGCCAATGTTTCGCAACCACATGCAGTGAACTTGGTTGCGCGATTTGTCCGGCATCACCAACCCTCCTATTAGCTGCAGTATGCATGTCTGTGTATACATTTTAACTTCATCCTCAGACGCGTCCTCGCTCAAATCACGAAAATTGGCATATAACCAATTTAACGGTATCCGACCACCGTTAAAATTTTTCGGGACACGTCCTAGATTATCCCGACACAAAGCAGTCCAGGAACCATGCGCGATCCCCGATATCACATCTCTATCCACCGGAAGCCCCAGGTGCATAGAAACATCCTCAAGTGTAATCGTGCACTCTCCGCACGGAAGATGAAATGTGTGGGTCTTCGGCCTTCACCGCTCTACTAAGGCAGAAATAAGGTTTGGCTCTATCTTACAATGACCCTGATATCTACCTATGTAACCGAATCCAACCTTTACTAAATACGGCAAGACACGGCTAGGTATCATTAACTTAAGATTCCTAATAAAAGGATCTAATACACGGTCCTTCTCCTAAAATTAAATAATTACAAAAATTAATTTTTAATCTAATATCAGCATTAAATAAATCAACAAATTATTACTAATTTAAATTAAATTAAACGTTAAAATGTTACTGTATCAGCAAAGTATCGATATATATGATTTGCATCCAAGCGAAGTATATCGTTTGCCATTTTATATTTGCAAAAAAATTAAATAAGTAAAATATTAAATAAATTAAATACTTAAATAAAATAAATACAAAATATTAAAAATATAATAAAATATACCTTAGAAGAGATTATAAGAGTATTTGAGAGAAGTTGAGAGAATTTGGTATGATGAAAGTAATTGAGGATGGAGGTATTTATAGGGAGGTTTGGGGGTATTGAAGTCGGGGTAGTTGTGTAATTACATCTAAGACGCGTCGCAGGGGGCGCGTCTTCCTGACGCGTGTCAGATTCACAGGGAAGGCGCAGCCCCTGCCCCGCTCCTTTGGTGTAATTACACACCTACCCCGCGCTTTATCTACGTGTATCCATGTTTGCATAAAGCGCGCTTCAAGGGGCGCGCCTTATCCCACGTGACGCCAAATCAACATATAACGCGGTGCAGGGCGTGCGCTTTACTACTAAGGGTGTTAGATCAGGAAATATAGTCTGATCGATGTTAGATCGATAAATATATCGGTCACCAGTGATTTTTTGAGAAAAACTCCCAATTATTACTTCTTTTATTTGGTTAGGTAAAGTTTTTTTTACAAGTTCCATAAACTTCTAGAAGGTGATTTAATCATGAGATAAGGCTGATCCAATGAATACAATAGAAGAACGTACGATTGATGATTATACGTCATTTTTTGTATTAATAAGAACATTATTGTTACTGTTTTTTTATTTCAATCAAATTAATCTTTTAACATTATTGATATTATTTTATATCGGTTGAACAAAGTTTTATTAATATATCATAATCGTGATAATAGGTAATATATGAAAATAATGATCGAGAAATCTAATGAACAATTTCACCTAACGAAACTTATAAAATTTTAAAGATAATATTTATTCTGTAACATTATCGATTTAACTACATGTAGTGAAATTGGTAACAGAAAATGATAATGATGTGTATGTAATAAATCATGTTCGACAATACAAGTATATACTCCATAAATTTAGGTCAAGCTCAAAATATATGAATATTAAATGGAATGGTTAATTGTTGATGATATCAATGACGTTGGTTGTAGTGATAAGTAGGGTTGACAATGGCGAGACTATGGAAGGAGCAGACCATAAATGTATCTTACGAATTTTAAATAAAAGATGCAGAACGTTAGTCGCTTCGTTACCTTTTCAATCAGTAAAACATTTGTTATTATCGACTGAGAGTATAATGTAAGATAAAATGTATTAATCATTTTTGAAAGACGTGACCGATAAAATATGGTTTTATCCTTTAATCGAACAAATATATATGTCGTTTTTAATATTAATCAGGTAAAAAATATTATTTAGGTAACAAATCCATAGCCATGGCAGTCCTTCAAGTTCAAATGCTATTTTCTAAACTTGGCAATAATTTGGTAAAATTTCCCAACGAGTGCAATACCAACTCCATTAAACAACTCATCATATATAAACAAGAAATGTCTGCAGTTTCCAAATCCCATTTCTCGATTTGCATGCGTTGAACATATTCTCTTCTTCTTCATCAGATGCCCATTTCATTTTCTCCCTTTAATGGTGTTTTCAATCCCTTTTGAAAGAGAAAGTCGGCTCATTTGCCAGTCAAAGCTTCAGCCTTTGTTCGTTTGCGTCACCCTTTTTCTTTCATTTTCCAGAATCTTGTTTCTTTGTAAATCACGAGACTTTCTTTGATTTTAAGAATAGTTTATTCGTGCTGGAAGAAATCATGAAGATTTCTGGAGTGCCCCTTTGAATACGCAATTGTTTGACGCTCTATACAGTCCTGATTCCACCCTTTCCTTCATTGTTTTGTTTCCCTTTTACTTCGTTTACTGAGAAAACGTTGAACATGGCGGAAAATCCAAAGCTGGTAAGTAAAAACTCTCTGGGTTTCCTTCTATTTTTTCTATTCTCCTTTATTTCTACAGTTCCTTGATTTGGTTATTAGGATTTAACATCTTCCAACGAGATATCCACACAAAAGATATCAGTTTCGGATCATATTAACGGGTTCCAATACGCAGCCGATGATAAATCCGATAGCTTTGTCGTCGACATGGAAGGTTTCTCTCATGGAGGATCCAATAAAGAAATCAATCAAATTCAAGATTTACAGTAGTTTTTTTGTTCTTCTTTTCCTGAAAGCTTGAATAATTATTTTTTGAATGACACGTGTTTACAGCTCAATTGTACTGTTTCATGCAAATCCAATTTGCAGAAAAGTCTTTCTCGGAAAGGGTCTCAGAGAGGAGGGGACAAGAAGATTATTATAACTTCAAACTGCAACTCCTCCCTCAATGATAAAGATGCTTTTGTCGCCACCTCCCCCATAGGTACAAACTTTTAGCATTAATTGCTTCGTTTTTTTTTTCATTTCAGAAGTCAAGTTTACCGTTTGGTGTTTTTTGAACTTTTTCCAGTAAATTTTCCCGGAATTTTAAAAAGGAACGCTTTGGCTCTGTTTTTAGTGGTTCAGACCATGCGCCTTTCTGCATTTCATAGGAGGACTTAAATTGAATTGGTTAACTATAGAACAGTTGATTAGTAGTATTTGCTATGTTATTGGAATGGAGTGTATACCGATACAGGTCGTTTCCATGTATTTAAGGGTCCTTGCCGTCGCATGCTCATTTTCGAATTTGTATTGAAAACGTATACTCGAAATGAATAAAGAGTCGGAGCTACCTATAGAAAATATGTGCTTTCTTGACGCTGTTTCTCTAGGATGCATGTTCTCATGTTTTCTAGCAAATTTTCGGTAAATTGCCCGTTTGCCTAGTTTATTCTGTAAGATCTGGCCTGTTATTGAACTGCAACTTCTCTGGCAGGGTCTAGCACTGCTGAAAAGCCTGCGACGGGCGCTGTAGCATCAACCAATCAGACCGCAATCTGCAAGTTCATCATCAGATCACCATTACAACAGGCAATATCACCGCTGCAACTGAGAGCAGATTCAGTCTACGGAGGAACATTACCGACGGTGTTCTTCCCAGTGGCTACTCTATCCCAAGATGATCTCTTTCTCTTTGCCACATTGCAAGTTTCCAAAGCCCATCATGGACTATATCCTATTTCATCTGCAAGGGCATAAACATTTTAACGACTTTGATATATCGAAATGAAAGCTGTTTCGGTTTTTTTTTTCAACAGATCCAGCATTGGAACGATTTTGCTAATATACTTCACATTGTCGATTAACAAGACGAACGGAGATGGGAATGCTTTTGACTAGTACGCAGCCGGGACTATACGCCCAACTTACTGCTATTTAGAAACACATTACAACATAAACATACACATGGGAGCTCAATGCAGTGAGAAACGGAAACCGAAGGAAGGTTGAAGAAGAAACAAATGGGGAGAATGACGACATGTACATAACTCCACTGTGACAAAGATATAGAATCTTTCCCTTTTTAATAGATATGTATTTATGTAAGAGATCATGTAGCTTACATACCTATACTCTTGTTCAAGAACTACATACCCTTCAAGTTGATCGATGTAAACTTCTTCAACTAACTCACCATTTAAGAAAGCGATCTCTTCTGTTTTATGTACCTCGATATTGTAAATAAATGCTGTAGAAAACATAATTCTAAAAAAAATGAATTTGATTATAGGAGGTGATTATAGTGATATCACTGTAACAATCTCTGGTTGGAAAGATGTCTCGGGGAAGAAAGTACTGTTTCAGAGAAGCATAATTTTCTTTACCGTGATGTGTGGATTCGCCAGTGGATAGAATGATGCCCGGTGCGGCAAGACGAGTACACAACGCAAGATCTAGGAAATGATATTGTCCCTGTGGATGACAAACAAGAATGCTTCGGGTGTCAAACCTTCTTTGTGATAACTTTGGGCCTAAATTTGTAATCATATTACCGAGGGAAAGTGGCAGAAGTCCGTGGGACGAAACCAGAAGTTTGCAGTGAAGAAATTAGTAACGAGGAGGAAGAGGGTGTGTGCGTGGAAAATCAGGGACTGCAGCAGTCAATGAATCAAGTCCAGAAACCATATCGATCTTTTTTGTTTAGGGATGAGAATAAAATTGTTGGCATTCAGAAATAAGTTTTGGAGATTGACAGCAAGAAGTCCAACTTGGATGGCATGTCCATGCTATAGTTAAGTTTAGAACATGTAGTAGAACAAGTGGTGCAAGATCTCCTGCAGAGAGTGAAGCATCCTGATTTAGTGAATTCCAGACTTGAGAAGCATCCATCAATGACTTATTTTTTCTTTTCTTTTTTAAATATGGTTTTAGAAGCAAAGACTATTTTTACAGCTTTATCTCATAGATCCATACACATTAAAACCCTAGGAGATAAGACTTAATAGGTGGGGTACAAAGGATTTTAGTGGGAATATACTGTAGATCCACATGGAGAGGTATCTAGCACCTACTCCAACATAAGTGAAGATCGGATGTTATGTTCAAAACTCCCAACATACTTAAACAATCACATCGTAGTAATCGGGAGTTGAAACAACATGAGAATATGATCCTTTGGGTGACTATAAAAATGGATTGGGACATTATTAATTGGTCCAAGATCACTACATAACATTGTCCGCATGCGATAAAAAGACAACCCATAGAATCTTTTTTCCATTACTGCCTAACCCTTTCAACTACCCATCAACCTGGTTAGACCAATAAGCCTATCTGTCATTCAACCTTTCGTACAACTTATTATGTTTCACCCTACTTTTCATACATTATTTAGTCATTCCTTCCCCACGCCTCTGTTTACTTCAGTTCTAAACAAAATCCTGCTCTCTTCATATGGCTGACTCTCAACATTCCTCTTCTGGTAAAACTTGTGTACACTCTTCAGGTACTCGTTACTTTCACTTACTTTTTGTTTAAATCCGTTTACTTTGCTTCTCATTTACTCTTGTTGTTCAGATGAGGAAACAAGTGAAGAATCAAAGCTTAAATTCTCTGAAGATGAGGAAACACTAATAATCAGGATGTATAATCTGGTTGGGGAGAGGTAAGTCTCTTAATTGCTTTAACTTTTCTTCCCAACAACAAAAGAACAAGGTTTGATTTTTTTGTAAGATTGTTTATTGTCAGATGGGTTCTAATTTCTGGAAGAATCCCTGGTAGAACAGCTGAGGAAATTAAGGAGTATTGGAATACCAGGTATTCGAAAAGCGAAAGAAGAGGCAAAAGGGCGAAATGTCTGGTACTTCGAGCGAGTTGATGCTAGAGCAATGTTGGGTATTTGTTGCAGTCACTTAAAATGAGTAAAGAAGATGATGGTAATGGATTCATCTTCAAGCAAAAATGATGCGTTTGATGTTTTGGACTTTCACCCCCTTTCTCTTTTTCATCATCCTACTGTCCATATGTTCATGTCATTTGAATCGAATCTTTTTACCGACTTGATGTTAACGTTATAACAATTTGAGCCGGAGTTCAACAAACTGCACTGAGAAATTGAGTCGGAACTCAATCGTCAAACCGATCAAATAATCAACTCCAATCGAATAGGCTGGCCTGCATATATTAGCAAACCAAAAGGCGAATACCATGACTTGAAATAACCATTCAATGAAAGTATAATTTACCAATTGTACAATCATGCAATGAAATGGTATCATAGAGAATCCAACTGAAGGATTAGCTAGGTGATCAGGGAAAAAAAAATATGCAGAGCAAACATTAACATTTTGATTATACAACCTCTTTGATCAAGTTGGTGAGTTAACGATGACAAATAGTAGTTATGAAATTTACTTGAAGACCTTATATTCCCTTTGATTTATACGTTGCTCTGCTTGTAAAGCTTCGTGTCGAGCACTTGCTTACCGCACATTGCACATACACCTGCACAGCATAAAACACTCATCAGTGGCCATGCACCCAAAAAAAAACAAAAACAAAACAGACAAACATAAATCAAAATGGCCAGGTTGTAGAGCATAAATTTATCAATCTAACATACCTTTCGAATAAGCACAAGTGTGACAGTACTTGGCATCTTGATGTACTTGCTGCTTGCAAATGATACACTTGGTGTTTCCATAAGGAGTCCATCTGCAGGCAATGGATTCCAAATCAAAATCATGAAATCTAAAAAAAATGCAATCCAGAATCATGCATGAAAAATAAGAGGGACCCTTAACCTATGTTAAACTTGGGTGAGTGTGTCGGATACGGCTACGCATTGTTAGATTTTCATAAGTTTTGTCATATATTTTGACGGATTCTTGAAGGTCAGCTACAATCCTAAACCCTATTAGGTCATGTTCTTAACTAATACCTTCAGCAATAAAGAGAAACCAGAAAACCAGCACAAATATAAAACTATTTTCCCAATGTCAATAACACAACCCTAAGATCGGAAGAATCAATGATAATTTACAGCAATGATCAAGCCACTCCTTAAAGAATATACTGATCACCGAGTACAGCAAAGAATTATGCCCAACCTTTACGGAATTTAAATTTTGTTCATGTTATGCAAATTAGTAATAGGAGAGGAAAAGAAAAAAGAACATACCTGTTTTTTTTGGATAGGAGTTTATTTTCGTTTATTTTCCGGCCACCGCTTTCGTTGGTGTTGCTGGCGCCTTCCTTCCACTTATCGGGCACGATCACCTTCGATAGCTTCTTCTGGCCTACAAATTAAATTGATAAAAAAGATCAGGTTTTTTCCTTTCAATTTCCATAGATTATACCAAAATGATAAGGAAACTAGCTACAATTGCAGAATTAGAGAACTCACACTTCTCGCACACCATTGAAGTTAATTGTTTTTCTCCGCAAAATTTCCCCCTTCAGTATTTCGAAACCGGAACCCTAGGAATAATTGTGGGCGCTATAATTAGACATTTTGTTTATCAAATTACAAAAGTACCCTGAAGTATTCCCAAACGGTGTAAGATTAAATCGGTTAATCAAACCGAATTGAATGAGTTAAAATCTAATGACTAATTTTTAAGGAATGTTTCCCGACTACAATATTTATTGAGTTTCCAATTATAAAATGTTAAAAAAAATGTTTCGTTATTTTGTTGAATTTTTTAACTATTAAAAATTATAAAATGATTATTTTTTTGGATAAATTAAAATGATTATTGAACTATTTGTTATATTCTAAACTAGTTTTTTTGTTAAAAAATAATGGTCGTTTGAGTTGGACGTTAACATATTGACTAAGATATTATAGCCGTTTGAGATTATGAGATTATTTTATTATATCTCAAATCAACAAGTTAACATCAATCTCAGAGTGTCGTTAATTTTTTAATGAAAAATGATAAGTTTAAAATATAATGAATAGTTGAATGACCATTTTATAACTTTTAATAGTTAAATGAATTCAACGTATCATATAGTCGTGAGATCATTTGTGTTTTTATCCTAAAATTTTCTACGAAATTCGAAGTGTTTTTAGCTTAATTAATTTAATTGATTCTCCAATAAACAATGTTTTATAAAATTCATGAATTATGGATGTACAGAAGTATCCAAAACAAAATGGCCTATTGTATATATTCGTATCCTAGCTCTCATGCTTCAAGCCATGCATCCGACCAAAACCCAGAGAAGAAAGAAATCCCTACAACTTTCACCATCTAAGACTGAATCAACCAGCTCACCTCGGGAATTGTTCAGGATTTGTTCGAGTGTCAAACCTCGCATTTCCACCTTCTGCATCAATAGCTCCAGCTCCTTCGAAATAGTTATCTTCATCTGGTAGAGGAATTTGTATCTCGCTTGCCACTACCACCGCCACCGAGCAGCCTCTCTTTCTCCGCCGTGTTCGCCTCACCATTATCTCCTTCCCTTTCCTCCGTAAACCGATACTAAATATTCATCCAGTCATCATCATCATTATCATTAACCCGAGCTGATTTTTGGTGCCTTAAACAATTCCCCATGACTGGTTCTTTGTGCAGCAGTTGTATGAATAGCAAAGAAATTCATTTCTTGCATAATTTGAAAGGGCCGCAACACTGGAAATATTCAAGAGAACTGAATTTGACCTTTCATGTAAAGTGTTACCATTACATGTAAATTACATGGTTGGTCACCAAACTTTGGAAAGTTTTTATTTTGGTCACCAGAAAATGTTTGTAATACAGTCACCAAAATCATGGGTTGTGTTTGCTTAATTAAAACTTCTATCACAAAAGAAATAGATAAAAGAAGTATAGTGCTTAATCCTTGAGTAAGGCATCATCAAGTTCTACATCCAATCCCACACGATGTCGGATCAACAAAGAGGCATCACAACTTGTCTTGCACATGCTTTGTAACTCCTTCAACCTGTTAAACGTCAAAATTATGCTTCTTCAATAATTTTCTTTGCCTCGACAGAAAAAGCCTTTTCAATAGATCTTGATACGACGGATCTCTCGAAGTAAACAGGAAGTAAGCATAGCCTATGACTATACCGGTGGTTGTGGTGAAAAATGCAATCGGTTCCATTACATCCCATGAGAACTCCCAAAATGTTAGCCGGAAGAACAGTCCAACTTGTAACACTGAGAATCCTAGACCACACCAGAGGATCCCTCGAACTTGCTTATGCGCTTGCACATCGATTTCTTCCTTCTTCTCCTGTAAACTCTTTAGCTCATCTCTTAAAGGATCGTTTTCAGCAAACAAAGCAAGAGGTACTGCTCTTCTAATCAAATCCACCACCTATGCATGAAACAAATGCTTTAAATGCATTAATAGAGACTCATAATACAAGAGAGTAAAGGTCAAAATAGGGATAAATACCTTATCAGGATGAAGATAAACCTTGTCACGGAAAAGAAGTACGACGCCGGCTTCATCGAGAACACGTGCAAAAGCAATGACCTCGTCTAGAGATCTGGCAACACCCATGCTCTCACAGGCCTTCAATAACTCTGAGTAGCCAACCACCTCTTTGCCTTCCATCCCTAGCTTGGTCTTGAGTGATTCCACATTGACCAGCCTCATCAACTTCCTGGCATCTGCGAATGTTACGCTGTCCACTCCTGCTCCCGTTTTTTTGGAATCAGAGGCTGAAGAGGATAACCAAACTTTCAACGTCACTCTCTCCAACAGCAGCGGATTCTGCAGAGACAGTGGAGGTCTCCTAACAACAGCAGCAGACATGACCTGCTTCAAAGCCTCGCACCACCACAACCTCCTCCACATGCTTCAATATATCTCACTCTATATAAATATTTCTCTGTCTGTGTATGTCTCGTGTTGGAATTCGAGTAAAATACCTCCTACGATCTGTCTATCTTAACAAACGGATCTAGCTTTTTCTTCCAATAACAAAAACAAACAAGAGTAAAACAAACATCATTATTTTTCCTATAATAATAAAACCATAAAATGAAGCAGCACTGCACTCGAAACAAAAAGGGTATCTGATCACATTGCCAATGTACAAATCAAACTTCATAATTGGGTTTCTGATCTTAGCTTCCTCAAGCTGATAACAGATCACATTGCCATTACCAATAACCACATTGGGCATTTGCCAAGACAAGTGTAAAATCGTATACAATCATCTGCAGAACTTACACATGTATAATCCTCTGTGCCGGTCACATTAACAAGATCAATGTGTGAAATTTAGATGCCAAATTACAGTAAACAAAGTGCATGAAGGAAAAAAAAGACAGATTACTATCTTGTTTTGCAAAATCCCCAAAGTGTAGATCTAGAAAATCTCTAGTAATTTTCATCACGGAGAAACATTTTGCGATGTTACGAAACCAGTGATTCACCTATAAATTTCCAGCATATAGAGCAGAAACCTAGCATATTAATAAACATGAAAATTATTTTAAAAAAAACTCACATCCATGGAAGACGCTAACAGAGAGAGGAGCGCGGCTACAGAGATTTGAGAGGACAAGTGGACTTCCATTTTAGGGTTTAGTTTTCTCCAATAAAAACGAAGAGAAACCATTGGAATCATAAACCATCCTCTTTTATAATAATAGTTTTATTTTTATATATAATCTTAATAAATTCATATATATTCTTTTACATTTCACCTAAATTATATGAATAGATTTTATAAATATCTTTTACCAAAAATATTTTCTTCATCAATATTATAACAATTCCAAATTCTACCAATAATAAAAACTCGTAAAGCTCACTTCTTTTGTCCGATTTGGTCATTAATACTTATTAGTAATATATTTCATGTAAGATTTGAATGATGAAATAATAAATATGTTATTTAATTATTTGCATTAATCCAAGATAATTACAAAATATTATTTTAAAAAAATTTAACAACTGATAATGAAAATTCAAATACTTTTATAATGGCTCGATTTTAAATATAAGACATTAGTATAACAACTATCCCTTCAACTTAGTTTGATTTGTATGTATTATTCAAATATTTAAATTAAATAAAAAAATTCAAATAATTTGACCTTTGAATAAATTTATCAATCTCCTAAACCTTAAAAACAAATTCTATTTTGGGTAGAATACAAGTGGAATGAAAGGCAAATTTGCAGAATGGTGATTACAAACCAATAAAACTATTGAACATCCATTTAGTGCGCCACCATTAACTGAAATGAACAATAACACCCAAAAAAACACGATGGGTACACATTTTTATCCCAAAATTACAACAAAAAAATCATCCTCTGATGGTTTTTAAGAAACCAGCTCAATCAAAACCAACTGCCAAAACAGCTAGAGAGAGAAAATAGAACTTTTCTCTCTCTTCTGTTACATAGTTTTGTTCAGGAGTTTTGGGATTTTTATTTTTATTTTTAAGAACTTGGAAAATGGTACAGAGTGGAACAACGTTTTCTAAAATCGTGGCCTTTGGAATGGTGAACGGCAGCACAACTTTGTGAAAACATTGAAAAAGGATATATCTAGACAAAGTTGTCAGTGAATTCCGGACAATTTCTGGGTTTGCAGGCGACGGCTGGCGACGTTTGACGGTGGTGCAAAACCAGGAAATTAAAAATAGTTTTTTTGTAAGGAAGAACTTTGACGAGAAAGAGTGAGGAGAGAGAAAATCTGGGTATGCTTTTAATATAAACTCATTATCTTTAAATTTTTGTGTAAAGTTTTATCTTCTCCAGAAACCAGTTCTAAAGTTGAATTGTTTTCATTGAAATTTTCAAGTTAGCCAAAGATGGGTTGTTGTCGCAGCAAACATAAATTGCCAGGAGCTGACTTCAATGGCGACAAATCAACCGAAGATCCAAGAACAGTTGGTCAAGAAGAAAAAGTTGTAAAGTCTCAAACACAAGTTTCAAAAACATGGCAGCGCCACCAGAACCAGCCACCGCAATCGAACCCTTCATCAGCAAGCACGAAGGCAGCTCAAGTGAGGCAGGATACAGTATTAGGGAAGCCATTGGAAGACGTTAAGAAACACTACACACTCGGAGAGGAACTCGGTCGAGGCCAATTCGGGATAATTTACTTGTGCACCGAGAATTCAACTGGCAACACTTACGCCTGCAAATCGATATTGAAGAGAAAGCTGAAAATAAACAAGACAGAGATGATGTCAAGAAAGAGGTTCAAATTATCCAGCATTATCCGGTCAGCCTAATATTGTCGAATTCAAGGGCGTTTATGAAGATGCGCAATCTGTTAATATTGTAATGGAGCTTTGCGCTGGTGGTGAGCTTTTCGATCGGATCATTGCACAGGGTCATTACTCCGAGAGAGCTGCAGCTGCTATTTGTAGACAGGTCCTGAAGTAGTTCAGATTTTCCATTTCATGGGAGTAATGCACCGTGATCTCAAACCAGAGAATTTCTTGTTGTCTAGCAAGGGTGAAGGAGCTATGTTGAAGGCAACCGATTTCGGGTTGTCTGTCTTTATCGAAGAAGGTTAAATTTCCACCCTTTCCTATTGATTCAAATCAAATGAAGCTTTGCTGCTCATGTACTAACCCTTTTGCATTTCAATTGCAGGGAAGCAATATCGGGATATAGTCGGTAGCGCTTACTACATAGCTCCCGAAGTTCTGCGACGTGGTTACGGAAAGGAAATTGACATATGGAGTGCAGGAGTTATTTTGTATATTCTACTTAGTGGTGTTCCTCCATTTTGGGCTGGTAATTTAGGATATTGACATGTTTCAGCAAGTTGTTGCTATTCTGTTTCTGTTGTATAATGTTTGTATATTTTGCTCAAAATGCTTTGCAGAAACTGAGAAGGGAATATTTGAAGCCATTCTTCAAGGTGAAATAGATTTTGCAAGTGATCCGTGGCCTTCGATCTCCAAGAGTGCCAAAGATCTAGTGAGAAAGATGTTGACAATGGACCCCAAAAAACGACTTACTGCTGTACAAGCTCTTGGTCTGTTATTCTCTCGTATCTTTGGTTCAGTCCCCCGGAGATTTTTTCTTTATAAAACTTTTGATTCTGATTCCTTTGATTAACATGTGATGTTGGTATGTTAGAGCATCCGTGGCTGAGAGAAGAAGCATCAGACAAGCCGATAAATTCTGCTGTTCTAACAGATGAATCAGCATCAGCTTGCATTAAAGGTATGGTGTCTTACTGGATCGAAGAAGATCAAGTTATATGTTAGACCTTTGAATAATACCCTAGTCGTTCTTTCCAGTTTTCATTTAATAATGCTGGCTTATATGAAATTCTCCAGGTTATTGCTGAAAATCTATCAGAAGAAGAGATTAAAGGTCTTAAAACAATGTTCACAAACATCGACACGGATAATAGTGGAACAATCACTTACGAAGAACTGAAAGAAGGTTTGGCCCGTCTTGGATCGACGCTCAACGAAGCTGAAGTCAAGCAATTAATGGAAGCTGTAAGTATTTATCTACCCAAACTGTTTACACTTTGCTCACAGTTGATTATTGAAAATTTATGTGCAATGTATTTCAGGCTGATGTGGATGGAAATGGAACGATAGACTATATCGAATTTATCTCAGCTACAATGCATAGATACAGACTTGAAAGAGATGAAGACCTGTACAAAGCATTCCAGCATTTCGATAAAGATAACAGTGGGTGAGTTCCGAATTTTCAAGTTATCATTATTATAGTTTCATCCTTCTACTCGTCAAATGCAAAACCATCTGCAATGCCACATTGCACATTGAACTTGTCATAGAGTTTGTTATTCTTTGTTCAAGTTTTTGAGATCGTATTATCTATGCTTTGGTTTTGTTCTTCCATTTAAGACTTTCTGGATTTTCCAAGACAAATTCATGGACTGCTCCTTGTTTGATTCATATAAATGTATGTCGATGTTTGCAGGTTCATTACAATGGACGAACTAGAGGTTGCTATGAAAGAATACGGAATGTGTAATGAAGCCAACATCAAGGAAATAATCGCCGAGGTGGATTCCGACAACGTAAGTTTGTTTCTGAATCAAGCTTGGTAGCTTCATATGAAGTTATTACATTACCCGTACTGATGCGGTTTACATTAATCAGGATGGAAGAATTAACTACGACGAGTTCTGCTCAATGATGAGAAGTGGAGTACAAATCGGAAGGCTTTTTAGATGCCCTTTGTTTGTTCCATTACGAGAGTGCGACAACCGATTGCGGATGACTGATGTAACCTAATTAACACGTGTCACCAGAAAGTATCCAGGTTCATTAACTATCTCGATCCTAAAGCCTGCACTTTGAGAATACGAGAGTATAAATTCAAGCCAGTTCGAGTTTAACAATTGTTTATGTATAAATCATGTATCTATCATTTTCCGAGTTCTTTTATTCGATAACACCTTTTACTCTGCATATATAGAGTATTTCATTATTACTCTTTATTGAACCGTGTCCGTAAACCTTAGTTCTGGTGCCCGTTAACCCTGTTTCCTTCTTTATAAGAACTCAGGCCACTTGAACCACGTAGATTATGAAGTTCTCTGTTTCTCCATTAAGCCTTCAACAGTTCAATAATAATACAAACACCATAAGAGTACTCGACGTGATACCTTAAACACGATTATAAACACGATTATAACACATGAAAAAAATAATACAAACACGACAAGGTTACTCGGGCCTAAAGATGTTCATCTTTCGTTTCGCGACTTTGACTGTGAGCTATGCCTTGAACTGCAGTACTTCTCGATCTCCTTTGTTGTCCTTCCAGGAATTCTCCCAGCAATCAGAGACCACCTGAAGCATGCAAAAATACTATTAAGATTACTGCAAAACAAATGTATATGCGTATATATATACACAGAACATGGCGTGTAATAACTGATAAACCTTTGTCCAACTAAATTAAACATTCTGGCAATAAGCATCTCTTCATCCTCAGAGAATTCCACCTTGGTCTCCTCAGTTCTTCCCTCTGCAAAAACATAAACAATAAAAGAAGGAACTTAATGGAGATCCAATTAAGCTGAGAGATTGTAAAAGATTATTCAATTATGCGACCTCGGGGCTTCGTGTCTTGATGGCTATGTCGGTTGCTCAAGCCATGACGATCAGAGTCTCCCATGATTTCCCCAGAAGAAGAGGCTGTATTGCTAATAGCCATGCATGGTGTACTTAGACCATGAGTTGCAGTATTTATCTGCTGAAATTCAAGAGTTGAGAAGATGTTAGTTCCCAGATTTGATAAGTAGTTGAGACATTGCCTACTTCTTGTTTTTTGGATTTAGTGTCTAAATGAAGAAAACATTATCTGCTAAGTGTATTGCTGTTGATTCCTTCTGTCCCTGGTAAACATCATCAAATCTTTTTCACATTATTCTCTGAAATTTATTTATTTATTATTTAAGGATTAATATTTTATACATATAATTTTCTGTATTATAAACAATCAAATATTATTCAATAAAAATAATTATACACGATTAGTATGTAAATATAATTTCTTTGATTTTTTTTAGTCAAATGAGAAAAAGACACATCCTTATACATTGTTGTGATATATTGTACCCATTGCATTTTCTTGCATTTATACATTTTGTCGTTACCCTTAACAGTGGCGACATTTTGAATATTAGAACAAGACAAAAGGAACAAATATATACTTTTTTATTATAAAATATATTTTTATTATAAAAATGTATTTATTTTAATATTTAGTAATTATATGTTTCTTTTACTACAATTATATATTTGTTCCCTTTATAATTTAATATATTCTTTACTATTTATATTATTATATTTAATTTTATATTATATAAACATACAAAATAAAATATATAAAAAACTTTAAAAAACCGTCGAAACACTTCTGAAAATATCAATTAAATCTTACTTTTTTATTTTAACATTCAATTGAGCTCTTGAATTAGTTAATTGTTACAACATACAACCTCTTTGATCAATAATTTTTTATCGTTAATTGTTATAATTTTTACATGATCATGAAATTAACTAACATAATAATTTTCGAGTGAATAACGATATTAGAAAGAAATTTAACTAATATTTTAAAATTCAAAGGAAACCTAAATATAGTTTAAAGGGACACGACACTGAACATATCAAAACATGCATTTAGGGTAGCTTAAACTACAGGGTACGGATTTATTCATTAGCATCATTATGTATGCTTAGACCGCCCAGAGATTTGGTTTGGCCATGTTATTACTCTTGCCTTGTGCCAATCCAAGTTCCTTGAGAAAGTCTTGGTTGTCAACCAGGACCTGCAGGCACAAACCATATGTTCAAGTTACATGTCCAAGTCAAAAACTTAGCCTACTCGCACTTTCCGGTTGCTACTTATAAGTTGAAAGGAACATTTCGACCTCCGACCGCTATTTTTTTTTTTATACAAATTCTTGCTCTAGAGAATAACGGAGATGGTAACATTGCTGGTAGTACTAAAACTTACAGTTTTCCAACCATCAGGATCTAGGAAAGAGGTGATTTAGTGTTGATTCTGGGTATCGGACCTGGTTTTCGAGTAACCTTTCCTCCAAGCTCTTGTGTAACATGTTCCACTTCCACCAACCTCACCACTTCTGTAAACATCATCAGTACCAATAGCAACCTTAAATAAGAACGATAGTCATCGTAAAAGGGAAACCGAATCAGTACTAACAGAGATCTCTGTCCCAAGGCCGACCTGTGCATATGCATTCCCCTTCCGTCACTCCATAATTGTAAGTCAACTCGAGAACGGTCCTCGTGTTCTTCGGCATAACCCATCGTAGCTATGGAGTACTGTCAATGAAATCAACAAAAACGAGACAAGTTCATTAGGCTTCCCAAGTAAACTAAATACAATCCAAGTAGAACAGCTTCTACCTTGTATTCAGGCCTATCAACCTTCTTCACTAGCTTCATCCTCAGGGCCTGCAACAATATACGAAGAAAAAGCAATGAAAGTCACGCTACCTTTTCATAGAACTTACGGAAGGATCTAAATCCCCAACACGAAGCAGTACTTGTCAGAATGGATCAGGAGTGGAAGCTCTTGGATCATTGAATGAGCTCAAAAGTATAACCATCAGGATCCTTCACAAAAGCAATGACAATGGATCCACCTTCGACCGGACCAGGCTCCTTAATAATGTTATCGCCCTTTGCACGGATGTCCTCAACCATTTTGTAGACCTAAAGAACAAAGTGGAATACATACCAGCAGCATTAGCATTTGCAGCGAAATATTCACTCGAGTTTTCACAACCAAAAGTAAAGAAGTTACATCCCGAGTTACAATTGTAAAATGCCGAAACCAGTTCCGATATCATATGAAGTCACTCCATAATCTGTGAATAGAAGTAGCAGTTCAGAGTGAAAGATATGACTATAGTTGTAGCAGATCTACTGCATCATGTTTGGTAAGGAAACAAAAGCTTGAAGCATCACATATCCATGTTACCAGAAATTACTGTCTCCCAGGCAACAAAATCTATATAGTTTCTAACGAATCTTATTTCGTTGCTACTTTACTAAACCAACGGAAATGTTTCACGTAAGTAACGATTATGTTCCGCTATTGATTGATGGAATGAAATATAACAGAAACAAACTATAGTAACGATGTCTCTTTGCCTCAACAGTTTCATTCCAAAATACTCAGTGTAGAACCTGAAACACACATTATTACCATAAAATAAGGACATTAAAGCATCGAAATTAAGGAACAGCCAGCAAACACGTACTTTATGGTACGATCAAGGTCACTGACACGGTACATGGTATGAAGGAGTCGACGCTCGTCTTTCTTTGGCCACTCAGTTCCAAGAACTGCAGCTGAACCTTCCGCCATTTTATTTTTTTGACAAATCCAATGAGCTTACCAAAAACTACAAGAGCGAATGAGTGAGTCAAGGGCAACAGTGGAGGAAATTTATGATCTCTTTCTTCGTTCTTCCTTGCTAACTTTACTGTCTGTTACGTATATGGGTTGGTAGGACATGCGACTGAGGAGCACGTTTAGCTCGTGGTTCCAGTCGAATGATAATTATGATAACTTTAAATATATAAAAATATACGTAGTGATTTCCATTTTTTAAACAATGTTTTGAGTTTATTTTCTTTTTACTAAACTGATAATAAGTTATTTAAATAATATTACCTATAATATTAATATATAATTTTTGGATAAGTAGCTGGTCTCCATATATTATCCAAAGAAACAGCACAGGCTGTTACATACATCAAACGAAAGGGGATAATCAATGGATCCCCCATTCAGCACATAACCACAAGTTCGCCCCCATCAGCTTTATTTATACAGCACCTATGTGTCCTCGTACTAGCAAAAACAATGTCCTTAATATCTGCCAAGCTGCCACGATATCCTTCACCGAATAAGCCCTCTCCCTGAATTGTCTAAAGTTCCTCTCTTTTCAAATGCTATATAGAAAACCAAACCAAACTAATTTGAGAATGCGAACTATCAATGTTTTCCCTTTAAAATTTTCATTACCCACTGCACAATGTTATCCTAGCACATCTGTCTGTGATGCAACCTACAGGCCTACATAACACCACTCCAGACTCTGCATGGAAATTAGCAATCAAAGAAAAGATGGTTCCTAGTCTCCATAGCAGTGCCACACAAATTACACATTCCATCAGTTTCAATAACCATCTGAGTAAACCTATCCTTTGTTGGCAGCCTGTCCAACAAAACCATCCAAACAATAATAGAGTGCTTAGGAACATGCTGGGGAAACCAAATAAGCCTCTTCCACTGCACTTTAGCCCTCATATCCCTGATTTTATCCTATTCAGTTCTGATTTACTAGTGACCATTTAGTTCCGGGTCCAAATATATCCCTTGCTTTAGCTTTAAACTTTAACAACTTTCTCATAATCCAACTAAACTCGACATGCCAAAAGTCCTCCCTTTTGAAGACATACTCCCTGATACAAGCCATCTAAAGGGAGCCATCATTTGCCAAAATACTTTTAACAAGGAGCAAGCTACATGCCCTATTCCAACAAAGTAAGTTCAAACCCAATCCCTCCTCATACTTTAAGAGTATTGTCCACAATGCTCTTTCCCTTGATGAAAGTAGATTGACTATAAGATATCATTCTTGGAAATATCTCGTTAACTGATAAAGTGAAGGTGAAGGATGAATTAGTAAAGTATATAAAAGTTTTATAGCTTTGCATGTATAGTGATGCCTTTATGGTTTCTTTCTTTCACATGAGTTTTATTTGGTTAATATAAAAATTTATTTTATATTTGATATAATTTAATTTTATTATTATCGAATAAACGTAGATATTATTAATGAAAATTATGATTAAGTTATATCACCAATTAATAAGATTTTAATTTAATTTTAAAATAAGGGTAAAGTATATAATGGTCACTTAACATTTCTAAAGCTTGCATTTAGGTCCCCAACTTTTAAAACTTGCAATACAGTCCCCGAACATTTAATCCGTTTGCAATATGGTCCCCGCACCTATGAAAATTAGGGTAAATTATATAAATGGTCACTGAACTTTTTAGGTACTTGAATTTAGGTCCCCCAACTTTTAAAACTTACAAAACAATCCTCAATTTCATTCTAAACCACAAATTCCAAAGTAATTCAATTTCATTCTAAACCCTAAATTCCAAAATAATTCAATTACATTCTAAAACCCAAATTCTAAAATACTTCAATTTCTGTCTTTTTTATAAACGACGCCAATGTCACTAAATTATTAATTAATTTACTTTTTATATTTAAAAACATATGATAATTTTTTAATATTAATTTAAAGACATGAAAATTTTTCAATAGTAAGAATATATGATAATAATTCATTTATTTAAAAATAAATATATTTCTGATTATTTGTGTATGTTTTTATATCTAATCATACGTGTTAATATATTTTATATCTTTCATATAAATATTAAGACTACATAAATAGCAGAGTCAAAAATTTATATATGAGTTATGTTAATTATAGTAATGATGTATAAATATATTTTATTTTTATATTATTTCTATTATAATTAAAATATAAATATTACCATGATAATTAATATTTATTTACTTATTACATCGAATGTTTTTTGTAGAAAATTATTTAAAAATCATAAAAACACAATAAAAAAATAAACACTGAAGTTGACTACTTCAAAAATAAAATAAAA